AGATGTGTGTATATAGAGAGAGGGAGATAAGCGGAGGGGGTAACACCACTCGAGGGCCGCGCGTGTGATGTGGCTCACCGTCCCCCCCAGGTCTCGCAAGCGTTTTTGGTTTGGGTGCTTCGGCAAGCGCCAGACGTGCCAGTGCGGGTGCGCAGGCAAGTGCACGTTCACGGAGGCCCGATTTCCGTTTGCGTCGATGTTTGGCCGTCATGCTCCTCCCGATCTCGTCCCCCTCCTCCCCCCACCACAACCATAATTGGCTTCCTCCGTCACGCTCTCTGCCATCTCTCCTCCCAACCCGCTCCTCCCCTCGTCCTCGCGCCCTCCTCGCCATTCCGCTCTCAATAGGGGGCGGCCGAACGTCGGCGCCAACGAACTGCCGCGGTCGCGTTTGAATACGGCGGTCACCCCTGCCAACGCTGGGACGGCTTAGAGGTTCTATTTTTTTTGCGAACCTGGAAGTCCCAGCGTGCGGCAGCGTTGACAGCCCGCCTCCCGCCTAGAGGTTTGGCGCGTTCTCGGGTGGATGTTCACGTATTGGCTGGCGGGGAAGTGGCCGTCAAAGCGGCACGACGATTTACCATTCGCAGACTCCCCGTACTGGGGTGATCGGGATAGGGCTGCGAAGGCAGCTCACGACATGAGGATACCTAGGGGTGCGTGCATAGATATTCGCGGGGACCGGGCGTGGTACAAACAAGTCTTCAATGTGACGGGGTGGAGGGGGGGGCCTCCCACGGCGAGAATATGTTATCGGTGTGCTTGCACGGTCGAGCAGATGGGAGAGTTCGGGGGACATGCGCGATGGCGCTCCACCATTTACACGGCTAAGTCGTACCTCGAACTATTGCTACACGGCACCTTGGACATGGACCTGGAACCGTTGGCACTACCAGGGTTTTCGTGGAAAATGTTGCGCCCAGGGTTAATGCACGTCGGCTGTCTGGGCGTCACGTCCGAGGTCAATGGGAACGTGCTGTGGGAGGTGTTTAAAGAACTAGGCGGAGCCAGGTCCAATCCGCTGGAGGCGCCGCTCTGTGCAGAACGAGTTTCAGCGCAGGCGCATGCCGTGGCATCAGCCCTGTGAGCGACGCACGCGGGATGCGGCGGAGAAGCCACAAGGCTGTTGTCATGGATGGTGCACACGCTGAAGCACGCTTATAGGTTCGGCGCCATCCTTCGCTCTCCACCTTCCTCTCACTCTCCCTCTCCCTTCGCCCTTTCACTCGCCTTCTACACCCCCGTTCCCTCTCCCCAGCTCCCCCCCCGCCCACAATTTCTCCCACCTGCTCTTGGCGGGGAAAGGTGCGCGACAGAGGGGCAGCCCTTCCCCATTCCGTCCATTCACCGCCCACCACCTCTTCACCCTTCGCCTCGCCCTCCCTGCCCCGCCCATTTCACACCTCCTGACCACGCCCTTCCCCTCCCATCATCCTCGCCTTATTCCTGCTCTGGCGTTTGTTCCGCCATCTTGTGCGGTGGAGCCCTGGACCCCAGGTGCTGACGAAGCTGGAGCTTCTTTTGAATCTGGCTGCGCGAGCTTTGGGCACGACGTGTCCGATCCAGCACCTCACCCTCGGCATGATTCGGGCGAAAGCAGGCAAAGCACCGAAACTCAAAGCAAAAGCAGCCGAAGGTAGGTACATGGTCCCGATAATCGAATATATGCTGGCGAATCTCCTTCCGTGCACTACGCCCCGTTCCCAAGCACGGACGGCGAGGGGGTAAACGGAGGCGGGAGGGAGGCGGGAGAGGGACTGGACGAGGGTGGATGCGGGGGACACGTCCGCCTCGAGGATGAGATGCGTGATGCTGCTCCGAGAACATACGACGAGCGCAAGAATTGGGATCCTGCGGCGAGCCCGTTTAGAGTGGCAGATCTCGCACGCAAGCACTTAGAATATTACAGGGTGATGCGGGATCACTACGCCCTGGATGACAAGGCTTGGGGGATCAAGCCGAAGCACCATATGTTTTTGGAGCTCGCCGAAGCGTGCTCGCCAGGAAACCCGACGGACCGAGGGGAGCAAGGGTGTCTTCGGCCCGTTCTCCATCTCATTTTCCCTATCCCGCATTCTCTCTCTCTCTTTCTCTCCCTCTCCTTCGCCGCCCTCCCCATCACCATCTCCCCCTCCTCCTCTCTCTCCCCTGCCCCTGTCTCCCCGCCCGTGTCCATCCTCCACCTGGTTCCAGCAGGATCATTGGGAGTACATGGACGAATCTGAGATTGGAGCCTGCTCTGAGTTGGCTGAGACGGTGCACCCTTCCCTGTTGCACGTGCGTGTCATTGAGAAGCACCGCTTGACGAGTGCCGAACTCTGAAAACGTAATTCCCAGCCAGGCTGGGTGACAGACGGGGCCTGTCATATGACAGACCAGTCTGTCATATGACAGGCCTGGGGTGGCAGAGAAGACGGGTACGGGGACGGTGCGTCTAGATAGGCAAGGCCCTCTCCCCCAAAAGCTCGTTATCTTCGTCCACCTCTTCCTTCCCTCCCCTGCCCCCCAGATCCCGACGTCGTTTTTGTTTTACCGCGGCGCGGCCCCTCCTGATGGTCCAGCTTTTCATCGCGAATCGTTGCGCGACGGTCCCAGGGCCCGTTGACGGCCCCAAGGAGGCCCACGACATCGAGGGCACCAAGAAACATGGCCAGAAAACGCCCGTCGTCGTCGGAGACCTGGGGAAGAAGTCGCGGAGGAGGAGGAGGGCCGCAGGAGGGCCTCTTCCCTCGGCCGCAGGGCGCTGCTGCTCTTCCCCCTCTCACATCACCGACGTCGCGGGAAACATACTATGTGTTTTGTTCCTTCGGAAGGCCCTCAACGGGCCTTGGGACCATGAACATTTGCCGCAAGGACCCACGGAAGAGGAAAAAACGGGGTCCACTGCGAAAAAAACGACGTCGGGATGTGGAAGGTGTTATTCTGCTCTCTCTCTCTCTCTCTCTCTATCTCTCTCTCTCTCTCTTTTGCGTCTCTCTCTCTCTCTCTCTCTCTCTCTCTGCTTCTCGCGATGTGTGTAAGATGATGATATAATGACAGAGATTTGTGTATATGATGGCGGTGGTATGAATAGCGTGTGTGATGGTGCATATATATACATAACCATATAAACGAATACATATATACATACACAATTATATACATATATACATGTGTATATATGTATATATACAGACATATATGTATATATATGTATGAATGTATATATGTATGTAAACCTATATATATGTGTATATATATGTATGCGGGTTCCGGCTTTCTTTTGCGGGATCCCACTATGCGCGCGCGCATGTTGTGGGGAAAACCCTAAAGTATCGCAGGTACCAGGCGGAGTTGACATCCCCACAACTTTTTGTAGGATTGGATCCTCTGGGTGTGTATGTATGTATGTATGTATGTATGTAGGTAGGTAGGTAGGTAGGTAGGTAGGTAGGTAGGTAGGTAGGTAGGTGGGTGGGTAAGTGGGTAGGTAGGTAGGTAGGTATGTGTACGTATGTATGCGTGTATGTGTGTACAAGTATAAAAAAAAGCCCGGCGAAGGGATCGTTGAGCCGGAGTGGGTCGGGTTGAGCCCGGGATGAAACAGGGTTGAACAAGATTCAACACAACATGGTTGAACAATATGATACCGGAGAAAAGCCCCAATCAGAATTTGTTTGGGGCTATAGGGCTATAGGGCTATAAGGCTATAAGCTACAGGGCACCGGGCACCCGGGCACCCGGGCACCCACCAAGGCACCGGGCACCCGTCACCCGGGCACCCGGGCACCCGGGCACCCGGGCACCTGGGCCCGGCCACCGAATCGGCGGCGAACCCGGGCACGGGCATCCGGGCACCCGGGCCCGGCCACCGAATCGGCTTCGAACCCATGCACCCGGGCACCCGGGCACCCGGTCCCGGCCACCGAATCGGCGGCGAACCTCACCTCAGCCTTTAATCCGCTAGGACCCCTACAGAGGCAAGCTCTGATTGGGGAATTCAACTGGATTGAACGAGATAACTCCGGATGAAGCGGGATTGAGCTGGAATCAACACATTGTCGACCAAGGACATACCAGCTCCGATTCTGAATTCAGCATCCCAGGAGTTGCATCCTAATCCAGACATGCTCGCGTCTTGAACAAAAAACAGTGAACGACCTTTGCAATGGCCGCTTTCAGCCCCTAAAGGGCCCTCGCCAGGCCCCGGGACCGTCAAACAACGACTAGGGATGGAGAGCTGGCCGTGGGGAAAGACTCGGGACTTCCGAGGACCCCGCATCTAAAATATCCAGACATCGCATGTCTCGATATACACCTGCACCGATCCCATCCTGGGCCAAAGATCGGTGTACACTGTACGGCCTCCTGGCTTGAACAGGAGGACATAATCACAAGCCTTCGGAGCTCCGCGATGATTCCTTGGATCGGCGCTGGCGCCGCCCTGGCGGCGCCTCTGGCACCGCCCCGGGCGCGCTTCGCCCGCCAGGGAGGGGGGCCCAGAGCCGATGCAAGAAATCAGCGCGGAGCTCCAAAAGCTTATTGATGGTTATGGTGGGAGCATTGGGTACTAAGGAATGTGCCCAGGAGGCTTCAGACCCTGGAGGGTTCCTCACCTTATGAGAGCGGCGGCGATATCCATGGCCAATCCACGATTGGAGTTCCTCCGTCTTCCAGATCCTGGATTCCTTACCCACTGGTTCCTTATCCAATGCCCTCACCGTATCCAGACACCCATGCAGCGCTTCAATGTGTCCGATGCATGGACCCCCAGAGGCCCGCACCACCTCCCCAGGACCGGTTGCTCATTCTCAGTCGTGTTTTGCCGGTCCCGGGCCGGGTACGGGCCCCCAGGGCCTGAAAACAGTGAACAACCGCACGTCGTGTGTTTGTCCTCCTCCTCCTCCTCCTCCTCCTCCTCCTCCTCCTCCTCCTCCTCCTCCCCCTCCCCCTCCTCCTCCTCCCTGAGTTTGTCATGGCTCGAGGGGGTCTGGGTGTGCAGCTCTTTCCTCCTTGATCACCTCGGGGTCGGTGCAGATGCGGCCCTCCGCCACCACCGCCGCCAGCTGCCGGACGAGGCCCGCCGCGGGCGGCGGCAGGGCCGCGGGCGCCTCCTCCTGCAGCGTGTCGCGGACGCTCATGGACACCCGGAGCTCCTTCTGGAACAGGTCCCAGAGCTGATACAGGGGCTGCCTCTGATGGGCCGATGTTCCACCACACTGCCACAGGTGCGAGAGGGAGGAGGAGGAGGAGGAGGAGGAGGAGGAGGAGGAGGAGGAGGAGGAGGAGGAAGAGGAGGAGGAGGGAGGAGGAGGAGGAGGAGGAGGAGGAGGAGGAGGAGGAGGAGGAAGAGGAGGAGGAGCCCAGCTTCGAAGAGGAGAAGGCGGAGGAGGAGGACCTTTCCATCCTCCCTTCTCCCCTGTCCTACCTCTGGTAGTGGTGGTGGACAATTGGCCCATCACTGCCTCCCCAGGGAGCCGTACCTGGTGGACGTCACCTGGATGGCGGGCCGCCCATCCACCCACTGCGCCGCGAAGCGAGTGTCCTTGAAACCCCACCTGTCCAGGGACTCCTCGTCGCAGCGCTGCTCCGTGTGCAGGGGCGCCGTGGGCCACAAGGGCGCGATCGGCTTGAGGACCGAGGGCTTCTCCCGGGACACGCCGTAGCCGCTCACCATCCCCGGACCGAGCCGCCCGGCCACGATGCACGCCGCCCCACGGGCCAGCGGCGGCGGCAGCGCGCGGCGGTCGGCGTGCGGCTGCAGCAGCTGCTGCAGCAGGTGCTCCTCTGTGACCCGGGCGACGCCGCCATCCCGCAGCGCACGCGCCACGTCGTGGGCCGCATCCTCAGCGGCCTCGAGCCTGAGGGCCAGGGAAGCTGCCACTGCGTCCGCATCCAGCTGCGGGGGGCCTCCCGCCGCAGCCAGGACAGCGCGGGCCTCCGAGGCAGCAGGGGCGGCAGGGGCATTACGCTCCGCAGCAGCCTCGGAGGCCACGGCTGGCTGCGCGCAGCACGCCACAGGGGCGGCAGCGCTGCAGGGGGGGGCGCTGGGCGGCGGCTCGCTGCAGTCGGGGTTACCCCTCTCCAACACGGGCTCCACCAGCCAGCGGGCCCATTGGTGCGGCAGCCTGGCCCTCAGGAGCGTTGCCGTCTGCAGAGCCAGGGACCACCGCTCCGAGTCAGTGAGTGGCGTGCACGGTGGCAGGCATGACTCGCGGACCTGCATGCCCCCGCCGCGAAGCGCGCTGGACACCGCCGCAGGGGGCAGCTCCAGCAGCTCCGCCAGGGCCCTGGCGTGCAGAGCGGTGATAGACGTCAGCGTCACGAGCTGCTCCTGCACCTCGGAGAGCAGCACGGGCAGCTCGGCGGAGGCGTCGAGCACGTGGGCGGCGCCGAGGCGCACGTAGGCCTCCCCAAAGGACGGCAGCTCCCCGCACATGCCGCGGAGCACCCAGTCGACAAGGGCGGAGGTGGTGAGCGGGGGCCGCGGGCAACCCTTCAGCTCGTCGAAAAACGAGTTGTCCTCTGGCAGCAGCTCGTAGCTGAGCGCGATGGGCACCAACGCCACGGTGCGCTGGGAGACGTCCCGCAGCGCCCGGAGCAGGCCCGAACGCAGCCGCAGCTGCCGCCGCCCCCTGCTGCGGCGGCCCTCCAGGAAAACCTCCAGAGGCCGGCCTTTCTGGAAGACGCGGCTCACCTCTGCCCGCAGCGCTGGGTCCGGCTGCACCGAACCACCACCACGGCGCACGTAGAAAGCGCCCAGCGATCCGAGCATGCCGCCCAGGACGGGCAGGCCCGCGAATTCTGCATCCGCAGCCACGTGGGGCACCTGCAGGCGGGGCAGCAGCAGACGCAGCCGAAAACAGGTGACGCCGATGATGACAAAGTCCAGCACGGATCGGTGCGTCGGGCACAGCACGAGCGGCTGCGACAACTGCGTGGCGGACACCAAGGAGGCGGCGTCCACCTTGACCGTCAAATCCATCCACTTCAACACCTGCCGGATCAAGAAGTCGGCACAGGATAGGAGGAGCGGTGATCCAGGCATGCTCAGGGCGGCCAGCGCGTCGCTCCACCAAGGCCTCGACGACACGATGCAGATGTCGTGGAAAGTGTCCGCTGGGAAGCGCGGGGGGGGGGTCGACTTGCCACTCGACTCCGCGAACAAGATCGCGGCACGCTGGATGAGGACATTGTACTCCACGGGGTCCCAGTCATCGGGCAGACGAACCTTTGAGCGGAAGAGCCACCCAGACGACGGGGAACTGAAAGGCTCGTACTGCGCCGGGAGCGTGCTGTAACGTCCGATGAGCTGCATCGTCTTACACTGCTTCTGAAGTGCGGTGGAGTCCAGTCCGACCGTCTGCGCTGCGAAGAGAGTGGCCTTGGCACCGAGCGCCATCGCCGCGTTCGGCAGCACGTTCATGAGCCTGTCGAGCAGCCAGAAAGCGGTCGCGTTCTCTGCCAACCGGTTCAAGCGGAAAATGAGGCCCGCCTCTGGCAGTGAAACGTCGCCTCGCAGCGCCAACAGCTGGTAGAAGCGGTTGACGAGGAGCTGAAAAGACGGCACTCTGTCGGCCTCGGATATGTCAACGGTGGCGTTCACGATGCTCGCAGCGCTGCCCGCGGTAGGCGCGGAGGTCACCAGCGCCTGGATGGCCGCACAGGCGACGACGTCCACGGGCACCAGAGGGCACGGGTGCGCCGAGCACCTTTCTTCGGCAACTCACGGGAGCCTCCAATACAATCTTGTTGGCTATTGAGAATCTGCGCCACTCGACGCTAGTCGACGCTAAATCGACGCTACATTGGCGTCATCTCATCGGTTACCCGACGCTCATCGACGCCGGTGCACTCAAAAGACGGACTTGCTACCAAAGCACCTGAAGATTCGCAGGCCGCGCTTGAGAAGAAGCAGCTGCGCCGCCACGATCGTGGAGGGCTTGTCACCAGACCAGCCGGCGTACGGCGCGGCCCACGCGGGCGTGACGATGGACGGCCGGACGATCTGGGCCTGGACGCCCTCGGTGTTGCAGGCCTGCAGGATGAGGTGCTCCGCGACCGCCTTGGCGAATGTGTACGCGCAGAAGAAAAGACATTTGCAAAAGCACCACCTTTCGAGGTCCGCGCGGATTTCTTGAATCGGCGCCGGGCCCCCCCGCCCTGGCGCACTGAGCGCGCCACCGGCGGCGTCGGCGGCGCCGCCAGCGGGGTCCAATGCCCCATGCAAGAAGTCCGCGGAGGCCTCCAAAAGTTGATGAATATGCCGACATGCTTTCTTCGAATGTGTTCGGGAAGCCCAGCTCGCGCATCGCCTTCTCGGCCCACCTGCCGTGCGACACGGCGTCCCGGTAGAGCTCCATCGGGTCGAAGTCACGGAGCTCCACCAACTTCTCCTTCTTGGCATGACACACACGTGGGCCCCGAGGGCAAAACCGTCCTGGACCCCAGGGCCTTCTCCCAGGACCAGCTTCCCGTCCCCAGGTGGGAACCGTGCGCTCGGAACCGGCGCGGCCGCCCCGGCTGCTCGGGCCCGCGGCGCGCCGCGGCGGGAGGGAGCGCGCCGCGGGCGGCGCGGCGCGCGGGGGCCGGGGGGGGGGGCGCGTCCTCTCTGGAGGATCTCTGGAGGGACGAGGAGGAGGAGGAGGCTGGTCCCAGGACCCGGGCACGGCCCCGAGAGGCCGAGAGCGGCCCAGAGAACCTCCGGGGCCCGTGCCCCTCAGGACCCCTCCGCCTTACGCTGGCGTCTCCTGCAGCGCGACCGTGGCCGCGGGCACGGCGTGCACGAAGGCGGTCGACACGAAAAGGAAGCGCGCGGCGCCCCAGCGCTTTGCCAGCAGGGCCTGAGGGGCAACGAGAAGGGGGTGGAGACTGGGGCAGGGGGGTAACCAGCCTCGAACGCATCCCTCTCCCTAAGATGGGCGAGCAAAAAAAGCGAGGACAATCCTGGGGACAGACCCTCAGAAGCTGAGGGAATCGTTCAGATCGGCACCGAGGTGAGGTGATGCCAAACATAGGGATAGGGATCTGTTCCAGGCTGGGACGGGGGGGGGAATCATCGACCTGGAAAATCGGCGGCGCATCGCCGATGCATCGGCGACGCGCCCTCGATAGCGAGTCCGCACGTTCCTGGGCGGGGTGGGGCTGTCAGACCCCGCTGGGGGTTGCCGAGGGGACAGGGAGGTTGGATGTGGGTGCACACGGTGGGACATATCTGGTCGAGCCTAGCTTATGTGTGGGCTACAAGTGCCCTAAAAGTGATCTAGGAGGGTACAGAGCTGGTGGAAGTTGGCGGAGCCCACTTAGCGAGTAACCTGACCAACATGTTCAAGGCAGGTTGAGCCAGAGCTGCCCCGCCTCAGCCTCCGCTTCTGGCCTCCCTATCGCCCTGCCACCCCAGCGGTCATCTCAGCATCGACGATCAGTGGGCGATGTGGGGTCGACACCTTCCCCCTCCTGAGCCTATGCCCCCCGTCACTGCCCCTGTGGGCCATCTGCAGCGAGGCGGAGATCAGCGAGAGCGCCGCCTGCTGCAGCGGCTGGTCGAAGCGCACGTCGGCGGCGCAGTGGAGGACGGCACGGAGCGGCTCGCGCTGCGCCCAGGGCCCCGCCGCGTCGGCCTGCCCGAAGTCCCTCTGGGACGTGTCGCCCTCGATGGCGGTCACGAGCCTGTCGAACTGCTCCTGCGGGGAAAACCATGACGGGGCCCCAGGGACACACAAAGCAATGCACACAGATAAAAACATATCCCCTCTATTTTCCAATACGTTTCTTGGCTTTTGTCTTCCCCCCCACTTCCCATATTTTCGCATATTTTCCTTGGGATCGACGATTATTGGCACCGATAATTATCCACTGAGATCCTGGCGCCGCGCCTTTGCCGCACCGGGCCACGC